TAAGGGGATAGGGTAAAACTGCTGCTATAGGTTTGCCGGCCCAAAGTGTTAAGTGATTTATGGTATCAATCTTTGTGTTATATGTTAATGCACACACTTTGAATTTAACATGGAAATCTATGTGATGCCAGTGAACTTTGCATGTGCTCCCATTGGAAGGCACCCCCCAAAAGTCTGGCTGCTACATTCTGGACTTGCAGTAATTTCTGGGGCTCTTTTAAGGCCATTCCTCATAGCAGGATTCCCAACCCCCGGTCCATGGACTGGTACCAGGCCACAGCATGCCAGAAACTGGGCCCCGCAAACAAGCAAAGACCCATCTGGAGGATGCAGGCAGCATACGAAACCATGCCCCCTACCGTCCGCGGAAAAACTTATCTCCACGGAATCGGTCCCCAGTGCCCAAAAGGTTGGGGGCTGCTGCCTCATAGAGTTCATTACCATACTCTGGGAGATAACCAGCATACTGTCAACTTCCTCTCATTTAATTAATTTTTGTCCTAGGTTAAAATGTATTTATTTGCCCAACCTTTTGCAATTTAAGCTTATATTTGTTTTAAACAATGTTTATGTTATTGTTATACTGAGTCTTCTTCTATTGATTCCTAGTCTTTATTTCCATTTGTATAGGCTTGATATCTGATATTTGGGCTTATGACCTCAAAAAGGGGTATGGTAGGTTAAATTTTTGCAGCTGAAAAATGCTGTTTCACAAGTTTTTGAATATATAGTCATTGGACAAAGGGTCTTCTTGACCTGCCCTAATAATGGATATTCAACCCAGCAGCTGAATTTGTATATAAATCTTACTACACTATTTTTTACATGAACAAAATGTAAAATGTACCTTATAGCAGGGGTCCCCAACCCCCGGGCCATGGACTGGTACCGGGCCGCAGCATGCCAGCAACTCATCCGCACAAACAAGCAAAGCCCCATCCATGGGATGCAGGCAGCACACAAAACCACGCCTCCTCTGGTCCACGGAAAAACCTTTCTCCATGGAACCAGTCCCTGGAGCCCAAAAGGTTGGGGACCTCTGCCTTACAGTATTATACATGGCCTTACAATATTATACAGTACTTCATATCCAGTTGATATATGATGAAAAGTTTTATGGTTTTAAGTAATCTTTTAAAGGGCCTCATTTCAGAAGGCAGATTATTTAGCAGCCGTTGAATATTTTAAATTCAGCTTTTATACAGCAGTACATGTGCTAAGGGTTTCTGCCTGGGTGTCTGCGGGGAGGAAAGATGAGGGAGCAAATGATGCTGTGAGCATTGTTATCAACACAGAGATCATTTGTATCACTTGTACAATAATATCATGACATGCATGACATCACTGAGACTTCTAATATGTTTAGGAATATCTGTCTCTTCTAACAAATATTGTATTAGCACAATATAGCTTCTCCACTAGTTTACTCAGCTCGAACACCATTCTTCAAGATGAAAAAGGTCTTCTGCAGTCACGACATAAGCCTAAGACTGAAAATCAGGCTTGTCAGATGCTATATTTTTTCTATCCTGCTCTATGGAGTAGAGAGTTGGTCTCTGACAGGCCACCTGAAGAGACTAGAAGCATTTGAAATGTGGATTTACAGGTGGCTGTTACGTATAAGCTGGGTTGACAAGATCAGAAACGAGGTGATAAGCCACCTGGGAAAGCCAAGGGAAATCATCAAAACAATTAAAAAACGAAAATTAGAATATTTCGGACATCTGATGTGACACCCAGAAAAATACGGCATACTCCATTTAATCCTCCAGGGAAAGATTGAAGGCAAACAAGGTCCAGGCAGAAGAAGAATATCGTGGCTTCAAAATCTAAGGGACTGGTTTGGACAAAACTCAACAGCACTTTTTCGTGCGGCTGCTGATAAAAACAGAATCGCCAACATGATCGCCAATGTCCGATAACGGATATGGCACAAGAAGAAGATTAGTTTACTCAATTAACTCAATTGTCTGGAGCCTGACCTGGATTTATACAATACATCAAGGTAGAAAGAAGGACAATTATAATTTATCCTGGTGCATTATATAAATTTAAACTAAACAATTAGTCCAAGATGGTTCTTATCCCCTCTATCAAATGTCAATTCTTACAAAATCTTATTGCAAGCCTGGAAATGCATAGCACACCTGAAGTCTCATTTCAAAAATGCTAAAACACAATCTATATGGTATGACTCACAAAGTTTCATTTTCCATCACCTCTTATTCCCTGCCTCCATTCACCATTCACTTTGTTGCAGGCCAGGAACAGTTTAATATAAAACTGAGGAAATCTACAAAATAGGCAGACTTACCAGATCGCAGTCCAGAGAAATGTAAAGAAAAATATTTTGCAATTGTGTAATGTTGCAATTTCTTTTTTTTCTTTTTTTTTTGGGGGGGGGAGTTTAATAATTCCTTTTTTCTTTTTGTCTCCCAACCAGATAACTCCTCCCCAAAGCCCAACAGTAGAAGTGTTGGGAAATGAGAGATTGAAGTAAAAACAACAAACATACACACAAAAAATATACAATAAAATACTTGCTCTCAGTAAAAGCATTGCAGAGCTGTTGCTAGTTAAACAACTTTTCAAAACTACTCAAACTGTTGGTAATCACACATTCTGGGTGTGGGGGTAATCAGATCTGAATTCCCCCAAAATTTCCCACTATGGATTTTTTATTTTAGCAAGCTACCTGGGAAGTATTTTACTGTCCCTTGCAGATTATGAAATGGCTCATTTGCAACTTTGGGTAAAAGATACTAATGGGATATTTTATGTGGTATAGTTATTTTTCAACTATCACATACTGAGGCCAGTGTTCTATCATTGGTTTTTTTTTTAAAAGCATTACATAAGAAACACTAGAAAAATGCCTTTCAGTTTTCCACGTTATCAACAAATCTTCAGCTAGAGACAGGGATGGAAGGGTCATGTAAAAATTTGGAAATAGGATTGGGGATAAGGCTCTTAAGCTATCATACAACAAGATGATGAAGCAGCTCTGTACATACTGTTTTGCACTGGATCATTCCAAATTATGCATAATGTATAACAGACATTCTTGTTTACAAAAGTACCTGGTGTTGTGATGGGCTTATTGCACTCGTACCCTCCTTCTCTTGGTGGAATGATTATCAGCTGATAAATCCATCTGACAAATCTGAGAGATTCCAAGGAAATGCAAAGTATGCTAAGTATATTGTGTTGCTGATTTCTTGTCTTTATCTTTGCTTGTCTTTAGAAGACAATGAACGCCACTGTTCAGCAATGCCTTTCTGACGTTGTTTAACATGCACTCCAGCAGAGTTCTGCTTTGGTTAATACATGGGTGTGTGCATAAGGTGGAGTAACCTCAAAATTGCAAGCAGTTTCCCCAGAGCAATCCTGTTTAATAGCTTTTAGCAGACCTTGCCTTTGTTTGATATGAGGGTGTGAATTTGCACATTCATATATAAATATAAGCAGACACATTTTATCAAGGTTTTCCTTAAAAGAAATATATAAAGGACAAAGGCATAAAAAAGGGAGATGAGGGACAATTTTCACATTTCAAGCATTTTTCCTGCTGTGTAAAATAAAAGATGTAGGGAGAAAAAAATAAGAATAATGTAACAAGTGAAGATGCTGAGAAGCCACTGATTAGCCTCTCTCTTCAAATCCTCGTCCCTAATATATATTTTATTAGACTATAAATCTGTAGAAAGGGCTGACCTCACTTAGAGTTTTTATAAAACACTTAGTTGTTGAGCTTCAACAACAATAAAAATATAGAACTGTATTGTAATTAAATATCTGGTTCATATTAAACTTCCCAAACAGCAAGTTTTTAAGTTCCTACTGAGAACATCTGGACAGTGGGTACAGAGATCATCCTGGTTTTTAACACCAAGTGGTATTCCTTCCTAAGTTGTAGAATATCTATTCATCATTATTATAATAACCCTATTTCTCATTTATAGGTACAGATTTACATAATGTTTGCATTTGGTTATTATTGTACTCTTCCTATTTGGGGGCATTGGATTAATTGCTCCCCTAGTTTCTCACAGCAGTGGTATTCTTTCTGCTGAAACCTGAGCAGAATATACATGTATGTCTGTTTATATGTACTTGTGCACAACTGAAAAAAAACCAGCTTCTGATATTAAAGTGAATGAAAATTAAGTAATAACATAGTGAAATGGTGAGAATTAAAGAATCAAGTTTACAATAATCAGGAGAACAAAATCATTTAAAATAATTTTATGGTTGTGAATTGTAAGGAGCAGTTTAAAGTATAAAGTAGAGCAAGAATAACGTTCAAGCAAAATATTATCATATTACTGACATTTGGGAAGGGGAAAACTACATTTAAAATTTGAAAGATAATTGACCATTTTTTTGGGTCAGGAAAAATATGTAAAAGCCTCAGGATTTCCGGCACTGCCTAATTTCCCTTTATGTATTTCAATGGATTGCTTTTGCAGAAGGAGTGCACAAAATTGTAAACCTAAAGTCGGAGAGATGTCAATGGCTCTTTGCATGCAAAGTTCCTAAACCAAGACATAAAATCCTCAAACTTTACACAATATTACAAATAGTCTAATCGTCTTAGTGCATCTCCCAAATCGTTTTGTCTGTCTGAGGTTCAGAAGCATAGACCACTAATATAAAGATAAAAATTTGGAACAGAAATTAGTGATTTGACTAAAACTTGTCAAAAAGCCTAAGGCAGGTCAAAACATTTATATTAGTTTCAAATTGCAAACTGCACCTTAATTAGGTAAATAGATCTATCCTATAGAGTTGTTAAAGCCTCACCTTCTGTTACTGATGTAAGAGTTCTAATGCCATCATTTATGAGATCATAACTGAAGAGTGGAGTGCTTGGCACTGGAAGATTACAAAGCAAGGCCAACAAACAAGTTTAGAGCTCCTCTTCAGACAACCAAAAAACATTTAAAAGGAGCCCAATTATTTCCCTTAAATTAAAGGTATCAGCAGCATATTATAATTAATAATTCTCCAAAGAAGGCTTTATTTCAAGACAATTTTTAAATGGGCATACATTCAGTAAATCAATGACACTGTTATAGATTTCACATATTTTTTTCAAATTAGGCGTCTCAATGTAGACATTAGAAAAATCTACATTTCCAAAGATCAAACCCCCACCCCAATGACAGGGCAAGCCACCAGAATATAAACTGATAGCAAACAGCACTCCTTACTAGCACTGATGATATTACTAGTTAGGGTAATGAAACATTTGGAAGAAAACAGGCAAGCTCAGAGAACACCAACAATCCCTCATTTCAATCCTGAGCCACAAATATTCTCCTTTATTGGTATTAATTTCTATTCTTCAATGAATATTAATGTGGGATAAAAATAGATTTCAGAACAATTTCTCTAGATGACCAGAGATTTCAATCAATACATTTTGCAATATTAGTACAGAGGCTAGAGATGAACTTTTTTACACTTAAAGCCACCTTATTATCATCAGTTACCCTTGACAGGCAATCTGGTGGCTTCTGGATGTATTTGGCTAACTTACTGTTGCCATGCTAGTTAGGGATGGAAACTGGAAGGTCAAATATTTAGAGAAATACAATTGACTATTCTTGATTATATTTGGAGTGATCAGGGGTTTTCTGCTACAGAAAGCATTCAAAGCATTTACCTAAGCTCAGATGTCGTATTCATCAATACAACACCCTCTTACTTGGAAAGAAATGCAAACAATTTGACTATTTGCTCTGGTTTTGTTCAGAATTGTTTACCGTGAATTTTTAAGAGAGAATCATACACCTTTACTGCCAGCATTTTCCCAAGCAATGGTATGCCTAAAGGTCCTCTGTGAAAACAAACCATGTCTTCAACCCTTGGCTATAAAAGTCAGTTACTGTTTTTCTGCCTAACAGGCACTGTTGCCCCCCAATACATTTATATTTCACTGACACCATTCTAGCCAACCTGTAATTGTTTGACTGGTTTAGGAACAAATCAATCATTTAAAGGATTGTGTCTTCTTCCTTTAATAATTAGTGTTTGAAATCCATTTTGTGTTAATTATCAAGCTTGCTCTATCAACTTTTGCAGAACGGAAACAAGGTATAGAACAGCATGTCAAAAGCATAAAGCTTTGCAAATCAGGTGATCAGCAAAGTAAATAAAGGCATATTGAATATATCCATGTTTGTATAGTGAGAAACAAGGATGTGTACACTGAAAAGAGCAAGTCAATTATATGGTAGAGAAAATGTACATAGGTGAAACTATCAGTAGGCAATATAATGCAATTTATTTTATAGTTCTGATTGCTTCTGTGTTTATTGGATGATTCTAAGTTTTCTATGTTCACCTTAAGAAAGGAAACATAATGAAAGGAATATATTTCAATACATTAACCCCTGTCAGAGGCTATTTAGTTCTAAGCAGGCTGTCAGAGCACTGAAAAAAATTAGACAAATTATTTGATAGTTTGCCTAATTCAGACAGACACCATTATGACCAGGAGATTTCACACGTTAGGATTTAATAATAATAATAATAATAACAACAATATTCCAAAACAACAATAGTGTGTGCATTGTATGCAAGGTCTGATATCAGTGCTTCTGGTTGGCCATTTCCTCTGTAAGTGTCAGCAGGCTGAAGACAGAGGGCACAGTATATGAATAAAAATCTCAGGTGTGACACTCTGAGAGGAAGAAAGGCAAAGGAAAAAGGCCAGGGAAGATTCAGAATCGGACAAAGGTAGCATCTATCTGCCGGACGGATGGAAGAGCCAGCATGATTTTGCGACGGTACTGCGGATCTTTCTGGAGAGGGTTTCGCTCTAGGTAGACTGTTTCCAACTTCTTGGCTCCTTTCAGCTCATCTAAGTCACTCCAGCATTCAATAAGATTATCATTCATCTAGGAAGCATAGAGAAAATAAAAATTGCTAGAAGTTTAAGACAGGTTAGTAGTAACTGTTCATAGCTGTCATCATTATCTCAAGCTCCTTCTACTGCAAGAGAAAATTCTCGAGGTGAGGCATATTCTGCCCCATCATCAATTTTTTGGTGATGTGAGTGATGGTGCCCCTCGAAGGGGAGCTAAGGCAATGGACTACAGTGAAAAGAAGGGAACACATTCCAGAAAGAAGAGTAAGATAAGAGGCTGAAAAGGAGACAGAGAAAGTGGGTAAGGACAGCCAATCCCGGAATATCCCACGGTATATCCATTAGGCTGGGAGCAGTAAGAGTTTGGTTTGGCAAGATGCTGTTTGTTATGTGTAAGCAAATAAAGAACTATTCCACATTCTTGGGCTTAGCCTGACAGGTCCTGAAACCAGAGTCCTGTGCACTAACTATTTATTCACATAATGTTGGAGTTCATGTATGCTCTGAAGGCCATTTTTCATAGTAGATAGGAAATAACAATGAAAATGAATTATCCCTTAAAAGTATTATCTCTCAGGAGTTCACAATTTACTCACACTGGAAAATGAAAGATTCAATATAGATTTAAAAGAATGGTATTCCTGTTCTAAAATCTGCATACAAAAGAGAAAAATCATGATGCAACACAAAAAGCAAAGGTCATTCAACATCATCTACGTCCTGAAGATGATGGCAACCTCCTCTTTGTTGGAGGCCTTTGATTGCAACTATTCCTACCATCTGTAAAGGCACAAAAGCTTATTCCAGCCTTCTCTATTGTGATATATAGGAATCTTCCAGAATTCCCAGGAAGCATGATCAGAAATTCTGGGAGAAATAGTTCTAATATATTTAGATGGCACTGGGAGGTGGAGGGTTTCTGTTTGTATTTTACTTGCTATGTGGATACTGTTCAGGAATCTTGTGGCCAGATGGAATTTGTCCGTATTTTGACATCAATATCAACCTTTCATAATTTTAAAGGACAGAAAAATGGAAGATTATAGTATGAGCTTGTCCCACATGAGCAAGGATTTCGCAAAGTGACCAGACAGCAGTGGAAGGATTCATGTTGAAGCAGCTCCCAACCCTCTAGAATAATATGAGGAAACCATTTAAAGCCCATCATAAACACAGGAGAATGAATTCCATTATCAGTCTGAGAAGCATTTAATAGTGTTTTCTCAGTCTGCTGCTGACACAAATGAGGAAGAAAGATGTTGTTGACTAAAACTACTGTAGGTTTAAGACTGCAGACTTACCCAAAATTCCTGGAGTTCTGTTAGATGAGTGATATTTTCAATTTTTTTGATCCTATTGGCTGCAATGTCCAGCATTGTAAGTTTATTCTAAAACAAATACACAGAAACCTGACATTAGTTTTCTCACATATTTTATACTCTTGCATAGAACATTATTAAAAGTTAAAGGACATGTCATGCAGCAACATACATAGTTTTCAGCAGCTTTACATATTTGGACCCTTAGTTGTCTTCCCCACATATAAACATATTGATTGTTGGTATCCAACTACAGAAAAGGCAAAACATTTCTCTTCCTGATATCTCTACATTGCTTCATTGTTCGAAATATGATTAAAATATTTATATCCTTATGACATCTACTCTAGACAAGTGGAATAAAGAAACCAAGAGATAAAAATGATATATTTAATTCATGGAGAATCGAATCAAATATGTTCTTAGATTCTTAATCCTCTGAGAAGAGGATTAAACTTAAGAAACTTAACTTTATATAAGATACAGCAATATTTTAAAATGCATTTCTTCTTTTTACAAATGTTCAGATATATGAATACTAAGAAAGTATGTTAATCTTTCTTTCTGTTAAAAAAGCCACATTAACTCTTATTATTTAAACCAGAAGAGCAAAAGTGGAGATTCATATGAGACCTGCAGCTTCTGCTGCTTCAAATGACTTTGTCCCTCCTTTGTTCCTAGACTACCTCTTTAAAAACATCTCTTCCTTTAAGTCCATACCCTTCCTACAAAGCCTCTAGTTACGTACAACGTCCTAGTCATAATACCTTCTCATACGGTATAGTAATGTTCTGGGGTCTATTCATGCATTTGGAATTTTCAGAACATGTAGCAGGTATTCTTATAAAATGGCTGACTGAGGGTACAGTTAATAAGAAAATACAGGTTATCAGAAGGAAAATTGGAGAGCATCTTCTAGTATTCTGGATGCTTTTTATTGCCTCCTATATGTTAATTTTTTCCTGGACAAGCATGCCCTTAAACATACAATTTTTATTTCATAAGAATAACTATCCAGACATACCCTATTCCTACTTCACTATGTTAAATTATTTCAATGCTTTTCTTCCTCTTTTCAAATGTTTACATTTCCCTAGTCTTCTTCTCCCATCTCTGCTCTATTTCTATCTGGTAAACCTATGATTTAGAAATATGTGTGGTCCTTGGTGTTCTCTGAGTTTGGTTGTTTTCTTGTAGACATCTGATTACTAAACTAGGTAACAACAGTGCTAGAATGGACTAAGACAACCAAGCTCAGAGAGCACCAAGTACCCCACAGTTCAACTCTGAACTACAAATATTCTTTTCTATTTGTAGAAATATGTCATTTTGTTTGCTCCTTTCATCTGGCCTCAACCATTTCCTGCCTAGGTCTTCCAACCTTGCCCACAATTCATGAATCCCTTCATACTTGTTGTAGGTTAACTCCTGACCGGTGTTACGCCTATAGGCATAGGGAATGACATCATACCTGTATAAGATTATCTCTTTAACATGGGAGTAATCCACTAATTCTCTTGCTGGAAGACTGTTATAAGCTCTCAAAGCCTTTCCCATTAAACATGGAGATACTCTGGCTACCCATTCAGTCTCAGGGCACTTATAAGATGTAGCCACTCTTTCAAACGCAGTAAAATAGGATTGTATGTCCTCTTCATCTCACAACTTGGGAATTTTTATGTCTTTGGGATTACCTTCTCTCTAGACGTTCTGAAAACATGAGAGCTGAAGGTGTCCCTTCTGGTGACTGCACCCCTTTAAGTTGGTCCCTCAACCCTCTAAACTTTTCTCTTCTTGTCTCTCTTTCATTCATTTCCAATTCAAGCCTATTTTTTCCTTTCTGTATCCATCCAAAGATGCTCGCCTTCTCTTTTTTAATTAATCGAAGTCTTTTGTCTTGTTTTCATATCTCTCTAATGATATTGGCCCAAGTATATGGACCTAGCCTCATTTCTGGCTGATCTACCTTCTGCTTTGGTTTAACCACAGGCGTAGATACCTGTCTCTATTAAAGCAGTAGCCTCTTTTAAGGGAGAATCTGTCCCTTCTATGTCTGTTTGTGTGGTGTAGGTTTGGTTTCTGTAGCCAGGACATTGGCCAATTCCTGCAAAGTCTGAACTTGTGTGGTTGCCACCTTGCGTTGGATATCCACCTTTTTATGGATATCCCACCTTTTTGGATATTCCACTGCTACCACCACTTTGCCACAGATTCTTTTAAGTATACCTGAGACAATGGGTCCACAAGCATAAAACAACATAGATCCCTAGGCAACACACACACAAGCATTCAAAGGCTAGTATTGCTCACTATCACTCCACTCTTCTCCACTGCCACTACATCTCCTACTGCTGCTGCTCTAACTACTATTCCTTGTGCATCTTACTACTAGTGAAAAGAATCTCTTTTTAGCTGTTTTATTTCCCCCCAACATCTCCTTCCTTCTCTCCTATACATCCACACCACCAACAACCATCGCTCAGCTCAGTGTTTATAGCCAACACTTGCTATGCTGGCTCAGGAGAGGGCTTAAAGAAGGAGGACAACAGCTGCACAGGTGCTGGCCATTTTCTAGGCAACCTGCTCTCTCACAATGTCCATTCATTCATTACAAAATGCCATGTTCAAGAGTAGCACTAAGTAAATAATAATAAAAAATAGCTCACGTTATTCTCCAGGCCCTCAATGACCTCTATACCATTATGGCTAAGGTAAAGCTCTCGCAGGTTTACCAGGTTCTGTAGTCCTTCAATCTTTGTTAACCGATTGCTCTGGAATAGGTATAAAATTTGGGTTAATTCCATGTAAGGATCATTCTGGTGTCATTTCAGAATAAAAAAATCCATCACACTTGGAAGACATATCTAAAGTCTTTGGCCCAAATACATATTACTTGTCACTTTCATTAATACTTTAACCCATTAATTCAATTCCAAACTTTATTTATGCCTTTCAAAAGAAACTAGATGACCAATGCTAAGTTCTGGTCAGAACTATGCACAACTTTCTAACATTGAATTAGCCAGACGGAATGCAATAGGTATCCTCCCAGAAAGCACATTTATGATTCTATTAAAGAAAAAACATAATTTGCATTTCAATGATATTGTCTGGTCTTTAAGGTTTACTGAACTTCCTAAGGATTTCTGAAACTTATCTGTGATCATATTCTCTACTGGCATGTTGGGGGGAAAAAAGTACATACTTTACCAGGCTATTCTATGGCATAATTGCTGTATTTTTTAGAAAGAAAAGAAATATATGTACCAGATTGCTGTTCTGTGTGTGAAAGAAAAAGCATACAATTTCAATGATAATTTAATGAAGGTCTGAAAAATAAATATTTAAATAAATATTTAAATTCAAAGAGAAGACAGCAATTGTAATTTCATTTTTAGTTAGAAATTCTGCAGACAGGAAAGGCAAATAACTTAAACCATATAATGACAATTAAAATAGAAAGGACTGGTACCTGTATGCTAAGCACTGTCAGGTTTGTCAATGCATCCAGGTTCTGCAACTTAGTGATTTTGTTTTTCCCCAGAAATAGGCTATCCAGGTTAGTCAGGCTGTCAATATTCTGAATTGCCTATAAAACAACCATAGTGAACAAGATTCCAATTTCTGACTCCTGCAAGTAGCACATCACTAACCTGTTTTATCTTTTAACCTTGTTAAATCACCCAAAGTTACTGTGTGGTGAGATGGGTGGCTAATAAATTTACAAATAAATAAACCTCCAATATATTAATCAGTAAATAACTCTGTAGCATAGCTAGCAAACCCATATTGTCATACTTGTCCTTTATAAGGATGGAAAATAGCAGCCTTCACATTTCAAAGAGTATTTTTTTAAAAAAAAAAACTTACTCACAAAGATACTTCGTAACAAATTTGCTGATATTTTTCTGCATTGAATCTTTATAGAATTTGCTTTGTTACAAAAGATTTTCACTGTTATTATTTCTAGCAGCACAGTTCATATCTACCTATAAATAAAAGTGCTTTTCCTGAAAGGAAAGGAAAACCATGCTATATAAAAAAATCTCTGCAGCTGAAAATGTTCTATAGATTGTTGTCATTTTACAGATAGGATCTGCTCATATTTTCCAAGTTTCCTTGTATATAATTAACATGGTACGGAGTTTGCTCTTAATATTCCAATTCATTCCAATTCATTTATTGAAACACTGCCTGTGTATTGGCCGAGTCTTGTGCTGTTTAGAGAAAAACAAATCTTACCCTAATTCGATTCGATCCTAGCTCTAGCATTTGCAGTTGTTGCAAGTTGCTTAGGTTCTCAATTTTGCTGATTTTGTTGTTGACCAGGAAGAGTTTCTTTAACTGAGTGAGCTGATCCAAACCTTCAATGTGTCGTAAAATATTAAATGAAATATCTAAGATCCTAATAGAAAGCAAAGAAAACAATTTCAAAAAAACAAAACCAGAAAGCTTCTATTGTAGGATACAATCTGGGTTGGTTACCGGGACCAGAGATTTAGCCTTCCAAGCTTTCGGATTTGTGCCGGAGCCCATCTTCAGGGAACTTCTCTCTACTGGAATGTGCGCTTTGGCCTGTTCTATGCATCATATTTAGGTTCCTGGTTGGATGTGGCTTCCTATTGGTTGAGTGGTGTGTTGATGGCTGGCTATTGGCTTTTGTTTCCTTGTGCTGCCAAGTGCTTGCCTCCTAAGTACCTTATAAGCTGGTGGCAAATTAGCACTCCTATTGACTGACACGGGGCCTGTCTCCCAGGCTTCATTCATTTCCCTGGCCAATTTTGCACCTGCTCGGTCAACAGTCTTAGTAGCTGCGAGATTGAATGTATGTCCTTCTTCTGTCATATTTTGCTGCATTCTTTCTCATGTACCCCACCCCCATTTTATCCTGACCATTTTCCTATGAAGAACCAATATGCTCATGAATTTCAAACTTCAACTGGTTTAAAAATGGCTATAATTTAAAAAAAAAAAACCAATAATTGACAAGCTGGACATTGAAAAAGCATCAAGAAATATAACAAATAAATTTAACATTCTGATAAGAGAGAAGTTCCCTGAGGATGGGCTCCAGTACAAGTCTAAAAGCTCAGAAGACTAAACATCTGGTCCCAGTGATTGACCCATATTGGATCCTATAACAAATAAAGCAGAACAAGAGAGAAGAATTGAGAAGGAGGGGGTCATCTCAACCATGATTCTTTACTTGTCTGATTTTTTCCAATTGGTACTACGTAAAGATGCTTCATTTCTCCAAACCTCCACTATTATTTTAAAGTGGTACACTTTTTTCTTGGTGCATTTTTTTCTAGTAAGTAACCAGCCTGCCTGAAGACCAATATATAACCAAAATTATTATTATTTAAATAAAAACAATTTGGCAACCTTTATGAAATGAACCAGCCAGTTTCCCATCAACCACTCAGATAGCGACCCACTGTTTATCCAGATACTTACTCAACACCTGTCAAAGCTTCCAGGTTCTCAATCTTACGAACCTGATTGTCATAAAGATCCAACTCTTTGAGAGTTTGCAGCTGTTCCAGGTTCTCAATGCACTTAATCAAGTTCTGTCGAAGACAAAGTGTCTAAAGAGAAGGAAGAAATTAAAAAAAAGAACAATTATATGTAAAGATTCTTTCATCAAGATTCACATGGAAGAGTCTAAGCCAGCGTTCTGCAACTTTCAAATACCTTTCAAAAGCAACAACAACAACAATGATGATGATGATGATTGCATAGACTGACTACAAGCAGCGGCATGACAAAGTAGCAACAATGGTGCATTGGAAGATCTGCAAGAAATATAATTTGCCTGCAAGCATGAACTGGTGGGACCATAAAATAGAGAAAGTTATAGAAAATGAAAATGTTAGATGCTGTGGGACTTTAGAATTCAAACAGACAAGCACCTGCCACATAACACCCCGGACTTAACAATTGTCGATAAGAAAGACAAAAAAGTCTGGATAGTAGACATGGCAGTGCCTAGAGACAGCAGAATAGAAGAGAAAGAACTGGAGAAGATAACAAAATACAAAGACCTACAAATAGAAATAGAATGACTGTGGCAAAGGCAAGCAAGGGTAGTAACAATAGTAATAGGCGCCTTGGGTGCAATCCCAAAACAACTGGAGCACCACTTGGACACCACTGGCATTGACAAATTCACCATCAGTCAATTGCAAAAGGCGGCCTTACTCGGAACAGCTTCCATCCTGCAACGATATCTGTAATACCATCAATTCAAACATCCACATCTGCCTATTCCAGGTCCTTGGTAAGGACTCGATATGTAGACAAAAATGCCAAATCCAGTCTGAACATTTGGCTGACTCTGCGATTATTATTATTATTATTATTATTATTATTATTATTATTATTATTATTATTATTATTATTATTATTATTATTAATAATAATAATAATAATAATAATAATAAAGTTGGAAGGTACCCTGGAGGTCATCTAGTCCAACCCCCTGCTCAGGCAGGAAACCTGATACCATTTCAGACAAATGGCTGTCCAGTCTCTTCTTAAAAACTTCCAGTGTTGGAGCATTCACAACTTCTGGAGGCAGGTTGTTCCACTGGTTAATTGTTCTAACTGTCAGGAAATTTCTCCTTAGTTTTAGGTTGCTTCTCTCTTTGATCAGTTTCCATCCATTGCTTCTTGTCCTGCCTTCAGGTGCTTTGGAGAATAGCTTGACTCCCTCTTCTTTGTGGCAACCCCTGAGATATTGGAACACTGCTATCATGTCACCTTTAGTCCTTCTCTTCATTAAACTAGACATACCCAATTCCAGCAACCGTGTGTTGGCTTTTTTGGCAGCTGCAGCACATTGCTGGCTCATATTTAAGTGATTGTCCACAAGAACTCCAAGATCCCTCTCACAGTTACTACTATTGAGCAAGGTACCACCTATACCGGGGTAGGCAACCTTGGCTCTTTTATGACTCGTGGACTTCAACTCCCAGCATTCCTGAGCCAGCATGGCTCAGCTTGGAAACCTCTCCCTTTTCCCTCAGCATGGCTGACTCAGGAATTCTGGGAGTTGAAGTCCACGAGTCATAAAAGAGCCAAGGTTGCCTACCTCTGACCTATACTATACCCGTGCATTTGGTTTTTCTTGCCTAAATGTAGAACCGTGCCCCTCCTGGCTGGTACTGGCAGCTCGGGAGGGTACACGAGCCTGGCTCCAGGGAATTGTTAACGCTTCCTTGCAGGAGGGTGCCTTTCCTGCGGCCCTCAAGGAGGCCGTGGTGAGGCCCCTCCTCAAGAAGCCTTCCCTGGACCCAGATGAGCTGGCCAACTATCGTCCAGTCTCCAACCTTCGCTTTGCGG